CCTTGATTCTTCTTCATTTCTATGGTAAACACTAACTTTTGAGGGGGGAAAAAACTTTAATGGGACGAAATTTGGTGGTTGTGATGGAAATGGTGGGACGGCTGTAAATATAAATATTTTTACACAATAAATATTTTAATAATTTTTGCATTTACTAGATTATAATAGTGATTAAAATGATAAATAATACTTTTATGATGGGTTTGCATAGTTTAAGAGACAAAAGGTCAAACAATACAGTCTATACATAAAAGCCATGGTAAAAACTATTAAAGTGTTAGTGTTATCATATAACATCCAAAACACTGCCAACCGTTTGTAAGAACCACCTATATGTTTGATATTTAAATGCAAACATCAGTCAAACATCAAGCAGCATGACCTAACATCAACCCAGAGCACTAATGCCAAGACCAGCAGGAAGAGATCAGAGGACTCACTTGTTTTGCAGCAGTTCATTTGCATGTCTGAGCAGAGAGACTTCAGGGCGCAGACTGTGTTCACTGTTGGTCAGATTACAAATGTGACTGCGCAGCTCCTGCTCGCTCTGTCTGCTCACCTGCAGCTCTCCCTTCAGCTTCCTCATTTCTTGTTCCAGCCTGTGGAGCAGATGGAGATCACAGTGTAAATGTACATGAAATTCATTAACCGTCTTCCACAGTCCATTACACTTTTGCAAACATATGAATTTAGAGCTAAATCAGTACATACAGAAATGAAATAACACAAACATACTTCAGCATCTGCTCAGCATGTGGGTTCGGAGGACTTGGTGAGATGTTTGACGAGCACCTTTCAGCAGAGTCCCCTATTGTGTTGATGGCTTTGGGGGCTTTCTGCCTCTTCTCCCCTTTGCTGTTAGGGATATTCACTGAACCTCGATGCACTTTAGGCAAGGAGCTCTTGGAGGGTCTTTGAGCTTTGCTGCTCTGATCCTCCTGAGGTAGGTTTTCAGGCATTTCTAGCATGGATGTAGAGCCCAAATGAAGTTCCCCTCCACGGTGCTTGGGTCCTGGGGTTTGTGGATTTGCCTCTCTTTCGGGTCTCGCAGGAAGTCTGTGGATTTGAAGGCAGTCTTCCATGTTTTGTTTGTCCTCTGAGGTGATGGAATTGGATGGACACTGGTATTGTGTCGGCCTAGATTTGGCCACCTTATATTTGGGATCTGTACAAAGACATTTGTCACAATTTTACATTTGTGAGCTTTATGACTTTTTTTTTTTGTACTTCATAATTTAAATTAGATTAGATTACTAAATTGAATTGCAAATTATGTGTCATGATTTTTTGAGAAATATTAAACAATTTTAAACTGTTGAACTTTTTAGAAAGTCATCTTAAAAATAGCTACATATTATATGGTACTGTAAAAGAAATTATACATACCTTCCACCCACAATTTTGGATACAGGTGCATGGAAGGAGGTAGGGATTGATGCAGGAGATCCATGTGGAGGTCATTCTCACTCTGAACTGATTTCTGAGTGCGCAGCTTAAACATACTGGAGAAGTAGCATGTTGCATCAAATCCCATATACACTAGTGGATAACCAATGCTGGAAGAAATAATTATACCATGTGTTAAATTACAGTATGAAACACTGCTGGTAAAATGGTTGTTTATTTAAAACCCCATATTACATTCAGCTCTAAAATAAATTGCCAATCAAAACCTACCAGTGTGCAGCAAATAGATGGGACAGATTTGCATGAGGGCTTTTCAGGTCCCGCAACCGTAGAGAGGCCTCCATATACACTAAGAGTATCCATAATGTCACAGATGACATACAGATTCCCTTTTCTGCAAATAAATAAATAAATAATGTGTGTATAAAATGGAAAGTAACACATTGTATTTAACTGACATACTATGCACACTATGTATGTGTAAATAAACGTATATAATGTTTATATAATACTTCCAGGGGCACAATGACTCTGTAAGTGTTAATGAAATGGCAATTTGATTATAGGGCTCACCTGTATGCCACATATAGTTGAGTAAGACATATGTGCTGGCTGCAAAAAACAGCCAGTGCAAGGGTACAAAAATCAAACAGAATAAGTCCAGGGTAAATGCCGCACACACAAAAACCGCACAGATGGCCTGTTAAAGAAAAGCAGAGGTTAGTTTGTTTAATATCTATTTTTTAAATGGTAATTTGAAATTCGAATAAATGCAGGAACACAACATAATATAAATAAAAAATAAAATGGAACAAGAAAATGTATTTGTAATTAGATCAGGTTTTGTTATCAGTTTAAAAGTAAACAATACAGTTGCATTTGCAGAGCAGAACATTGCCTACCAGTCCATGACAGTGGAATGTGGTGTAGACGGTCCCTAGAAAGAGCCAACATGGCCACAGGTATTCTAGTCTGAACTCCAGAATAAAGTCAGCTAACAGCACCAGCATCCAGACGATCATGAACTTCAGAACAGAGTAAGCGCTGAAAACAGGACATTTAAAATGACTTACCATTAGAATTTATTTTTTAAAGAAAAAAATCGTGTTACAGATACAGGGTGTTATTTGAATTAATGTGAATTATTTTTAATTGAGTAGGAAAAATAATATACAAATTTGATAAATATAAAAAATTATAAAAATGCATTTTTCAAATCAGTCAAAACGGAAGTCCTTGTTCAACTACAAAACGCGCGTTCTCTGTTTAGACTTCATGTTGACAGAAAGACAAAAATTGTTTTTCTGTATTTCAAAGGAAAACGGAACCAGCATATATGTGATATGTAAAGGCACAGAAAATAAGCTCTTGAAGACGTTACAATCCATGTTTTGGTCGCACAGTCTATTGTGCTCCATTCCTTTGTTCGGGCTTTCTGCCTTCCACATCCCTTTGTGTTTGGTAACCATGGCAACATTTCATCTTCTGCATCAGCACCTAAACGTCGAATCTACAGTGTTGCCATGGCTATTTAAAGAACAAGAAACCGTTTCAGGAGAAATCTGCGCACGTTCATTTCACTATAAAGCATGTAAACACAGCAGGCTATTGTCCAGATCACTACACTAAATAAGAGACGGTGTTAGTTAAGAGTACCATGTTGTGTGTTTACCTCCCTAGAAACAGTAGTCTGGAATCAGCGAACCTGATAAAATTGAAAATGCACCAACAACTTACGAACACAGCTCTGAATCCTATTAAATATTATATTAATTGAAAAATAGGCATAATATAAGGCATATTGTACAGCAAAATAAACCCTGAGAAAAATGTATTACATAAACGACATTCCTGCGCGCATATTGTCTAGTCAGAGGGCCTTGTCAGTTTGTCTGTTTTCAGACAGTCTGTTTTTCAGACATCGTATTATCATTAAGAAATAACATGACTATGTAAGCTGACGCTGCATCAAATAACATTGATAATAGCTAGGTTTACTAATACCAGAGCATGAAATAAGTAAAATACTGTAGCATTTCTTAATATGCAGCGCTAAATTCAATCGGAGGATATTTTTGTTATCAACATGGCCCGCTGCACTGTTTTTACAAGAAATGTTATAGATTCGGCCTTGTATGCATCCATTAAATCACAGCGAGCATTAGCTCTGAATTAAGCCCCGATTTGTCATCATATCAGGAGATGCTGTTTGTTTATTGTTTGCGTCAATCCGTTCAGCGCGCTATGAATAGCCAAGCGCGAGCCGTTCAGGTGAAAACGAATAAGAGCAATAACCAAACAACAAAGCAGCGCGCGGAGTCATACCTTTCGGAAATCTTCTCTGTGAGTTTAATCTTTTTCATTTTCCGTAGCCTGCCTATATCCATGTAGCGTTTCTTCATATTATGGCTTCTGGTCCCCCTGGCTATTTAGTCCATTAAACAGGTAATTGTAGTAAGACTGGAGGTCTCATTTACAGTAACCTGAGCAGAAGCGCTTTGTGCGTTAGTGGAGGTGGATGTGCGCACGCTCGAGAACTTCACACACAACCAAGCGCCAAGATGAGGTGCGTGGAAGTACATCTGCGCTGTCTGGACAACAAGGGACTCAGAAATGTTGCAAAGACATCGCGGCCACTGGCCAGTGATAGATAGATGCGGTATAATCGCGAGTTCACAAACCAAAATCAACATTATATATATATATAAAAGTCTGTTAGTGAGGCTGCCCATTTTATAGTGAACTATTTTAAATAATAAACAGCTGCATCTCTATTTGCTTTGCTTTGATTAGGCTCACAATGGAGAGGACGGACGGACAGACAGACAGATAGATATACCTATATCAGCCGCAGTGTTATAATGCATTCTTCTATTTTGCAATATAGTATTAGTTACAGTCATGCCAATAATGCAAATTTGAATTAGATAGATAGATAGATCTATATCATAGCCGTAGTGTTAAGTAACAAAATAAACTGTATGTAACACTACAAAGCTGCATGTCTGACGCAAAATAACACTTCCTCTTACTTCTACATGATGGTCTTCTTGGGAAACAACAATATTTGTTTAGATATGTTTAGATAGTGGTGTTGTAAAGCCAGTCAGTTTTACTAGGTGAACTCATAGGTAGTTCCAAGAGTTCACCGCACCACTTTCCCTTCCTTAATCAAGACATTTTGGAAATATAATGCTGTTCACTATTTTGATTTTGCGGCTTCTTCTCACTCCACAAGGTAAATAAAGTCTTTCACCAATATTCTGATTACAGACACATCTCAATTGTCTAAATGCCCTATCATACCCTTGTGCAGGTGGCTTGAGCTGGTTTTCACTAGAAAGAGAATAAACAGAAAAGAGAGCTTGGAATTTTACAAACAGGCACCTATCAATACAGCAGTCTTCAAATTTTTAAGACCAATTACAATGTATCCAGGAAATAAATGAAGGACATTTTGAGAACATTTATGTTTTTTAAAGGTTTTTTATTTGATGCTTGTATATTATGCATGTATATAAATCACACTGTCATCAACCATCTGCTTTCAGTTTGTATACAATTCTGAAGTGTTGGAAATTTTTTTCCAACTTAATTTATTGTTTCTTTCTGCAGCTACTGCCATTTTCCACGCAAAACACATTTCATTGACCATACTGTCAGAACACAGCAAAGATTCAAGCAGCTGTCTTTGAAACATATGCAACATAAAGAACTTGAAAATTATAATTCTCTCAGATGAAAAGTGTATGCAACAAACTAAACCAAGGATAACAGGCATCATCTTGGTACCCAGTCGTCTATACATTTCAGTTACATCTGTTTGTGCAATTGTGCTGAAAGAATCTCCACATCCATCTGCTCCCACAGATTGTAGGGTCTGCTGTCCGATTCAGACATTTATTTCTGGGTGATGGGGAATGAATTCTGGTCCATCAGTTCACCTACTCGCTCCTGGAGAATCTGCACAACTTCAGCTAGGATGAAAACGTGTGTGTCGTCCAAATCCTGGATGATAAATTTCTTCCCCAATGCCGATGTCTCGTCCAGATATAGAAGAAATTGCTTCATAGCTGGGTCACTGGTTGATATTTTAAAAGGAGAATCATAAATGATGACGCACTGCAGCATGACTTTATTTTAAGTGCACTCAGAATTTTTAATTGTTTTTTACTTTTAAACTTCTTCTTTTGTTAAACGTTTTGTTCTCTTTCAAAACATGATTATTCAAACCACGATTATTTTTTAATTGTTTCCACAAGCCAGTATGTAATAAGCGGTTCCAAGATCAAGAGAATGGTTCTGTTGGTCACCCATGTGGCAACCAGCTCCATGTAAAATAAAACGGCTTTTGACTACTGATCTCTTCATCTTCTTTAAGTGTATATGATTTCACATAGATTAAAAAAAAAAAATCATGTTCATTTGTAAGTTTAAAAATTTTAATCAGAGAAAATATACTGAATGCCCCTTTAAATATTTGTATGTAAAACTTACCATTCAACGAGAACTCCTTTTAAGACATTAACCATTTTGGACGGGATGGGTTAACACTTCTGGTTCTTCGGTTAAAGCCTAAGTATCTACAAAAGGCAAAATTGTTCTGAACATTAGAAATAATAACAACAAGTTAGCAGGTTACCGTGAATGTTTGCAATCGTTACAAACGTTCCACATACTGTACGTATCTCCAAACATATATACGCAAATCCTATAAAGCTAGAAACCAGCAGTTTCACGAAAATGAAAATAAATCACTCTTACATGATTTTTTTATTGTGTTTATCGATCAATTGTCAATTTGTTTTAATCCAAGTGTCCACCACCTACCTACTAAAAATGGTCTTCCTCTACTAACTGACTAAAGTTTGATCTGTGCGCTCTACTGCGCTCTGCTGGCCTGAAGCGCACTGTTGCTCTGAAAAGAAAACGCTGCAGTACAGGTGCATCTCAATAAATTAGAATGTCGTGGAAAAGTTCATTTCAGTAATTCAACTCAAATTGTGAAACTCGTGTATTAAATAAATTCAATGCACACAGACTGAAGTAGTTTAAGTCTTTGGTTCTTTTAATTGTGATGATTTTGGCTCACATTTAACAAAAACCCACCAATTCACTATCTCAGAATTTGAATGAACTTCACAAGGAATGGACTGAGGCTGGGGTCAAGGCATCAAGAACCACCACACACAGACGTGTCAAGGAATTTGGCTACAGTTGTCATATTCCTCTTGTTAAGCCACTCCTGAACCACAGACAACGTCAGAGGCGTCTTACCTGGGCTAAGGAGAAGAAGAACTGCATTCTAATTTATTGAGATGCACCTGTATAGTAAAAGTACATGATTTAAATGGAATATAAAGTTAGGATACACATCTTTATTACGTGTGATAAAGATTTGGCAATAATTGTGTCTTGTACATACTCAGCATTAATATAAAAGTAGAATGGTCCTATGCAAGTACTACAATTAATCCATTAGTACAAAAATAGTGGCAAATTACAGCCGACATCAGTACCAATCTGTGTGTCTGAGGTAGGGATACAAAGAAGGCTGGTGAGTTAAGAAAAAAGGCTAGTTTTCAGTTTCTTCAAAGAAAAATAAATTATGTAAATAAAACTGACTTTCTATAAATGATTGACATTTTAAATATAATAAACCTGATACTCATTTCTATTTGTTATAGCTTCCAGTTAAAATAAATGTCAAAAAAGTGCTCATTCCAAATGACTGAAATGAAATACAGTAAAAGGCAACGGTGAAGTGGGCATTAAAAGTTAAACTCAGAGGTTTTAACAAAAAGCATATGCATATTGGCAAGAATTAAAAAACATGAAAAGAAAAATCCAGATGCAATTTTAGAACTTCCTTTCATTCATAGTTAACACTATCCTTTAGAATGTAATGGTTGAATCCTCAAGAGGCAATGAAATGAAATGGCAAGAGACCGGTTTTGGAGTGTGAACTTTAGGGTTTACTAAATTCTCTGTCCTCTAAGAGCATCTTGAATAAACTGTAAAGTACGTTTATAGAGAAATGAGTCCTTTTTTTCTGGCTTGCAGATGTTGAGGTGATCAACGTCCACCTGGATGAGGTCCCCAATACACAGATCTGAAAGAGAAAAAGGAGAATTTATGTTTTCCGATACCAGGTACCCAAAACTGCCCATTTTTATGTAAGAACGATACATCATGATGCTGCTTGTTGTTCAATTATTCTGACCTACCTGCTGACTGAGATGGAACTACCAATATTTTGAGCATCGGCCCAATGGAGGTTGGCAGAGTTTCTGCAAAGCTAAGGACCTTGAACTCTTGTTCCTTTGTAATGTTCAGGAAATTTTCATTCAAGTCCCATAACGCTGGAGAGTCTGAGTTGAAACAGATGAACAGAAAAATGATGTGTATATGAGATTGAGGATCAATCTTAATCTTATCAGGAGAAATTAATATATTAATATTTAGGGGGAAAAAAGAAATCACATTATACCTCTACATAGTTCTTTTACTTCAATGGAGGGAAAAAGGAGATATCGGACATTTACAGAATACCCTGCCATAAACGTGCCGTGATGAGGAACACTGTAGAACAGAATTCCCTTCGTGTTCTTGATCAGCGGACTGAGATCAGGATCTTTAGAGGCATCTAAGAGCATCTTTTTCACAAGTAAACCTGTGACACAAGTTATGATTAAGAGTTACTCTAACAGTCTTCAAATTACTTGGCTTTTTTAGCTACAAACAGGGCTGCACAATTTATTAAAATACTGAAATCACAATATGGCCTTGTGAGATAATTAAACCTCTAAAATTAATATTAAACTCCCTGTTGAAAATGTAATTTTAGTTCTGTTATATATAAGCAGTCACAATATAAATTGTAATATGTTTATCAGTTCAATAGCAATTGCACTATGATTTGTAAGAAATTACTGTATTGCAAATAATTCAGACAGGTACACAAATATGACGTAGGACGATTTAGAAAATTACTCTCATAGTTGGGTGCTGGTTATTCTAAGACCCACCATGGACTAACCTCCCATACTGTGGGCTACCCAGACCACAGGCCTTTCCCCTACACCTGCATCCTTCAATTTCCTCAGCAGTTCCTGACTCCTGTAGGCCAAGGACTTCCTGCATAGCACAAAAAGCAAAGAAAAACATGGATATCAGGTATGCTACATTGTGTTAATCAGATAATTTAGGAATGCACATCACTGAAAATTGACTGTTTACCTTTGGTTTTCAGCAGGACACTTTGCCTTCCAATCACTTAAATGGGTGTCATACTCAACCGACAGGATTCTGAGGTTTGGACAGTCTGCAGCCAACCACGACTGTGGAAAATACAACAACAAAAAAAAAAGTTGAATTGCTGACTTTAGACTTCGCTCAGACTTTCAGAATAGCTCTGAGGCCCTGTAATGCCATTGTATTTGGGTAACTGTGAATTTACTCATAAGCTTTAAAAAAAAAAAATAATCTGACCTTGGGCCAGCATTCAGTGTAGTCCTCTGGAACCCCTTCCACCTTGTCATCATCCTTCACGTCAAGATCCTTTTGACGCCATGTTTTAAAAGCTGCTCCCAAGAGGCCGTGCACGAAGAGAACATCAGCTTTGATTGGCTGGCTTAATATAAAGAATGGAAAACATGATTAATCCTCACTAAACAAAAGACATTTTCCGACATATTTGGCAAAGATACATTAAATGGATCAAAAATGAGTAAAGACATTTATAATGTCTTTAACAGATTTCTATTTAAAATAAATGCTGTTCTTTTAAACTTTCTATTCATCAAAGAATCTAAAGTAAAAATGTACCACGGTTTCCCCAAAAATATTAAGCAGCCCAATTGTTTTGAACACTGATAATAAGAGGTTCCTGGAGCAGCAAATCAGCGTATCAGAATGATTTCTTAAGGATCATGTGGCACTGAAGACTGGAGTAATGGCTGCTGAAAATTCTGCTTTGCCATCACAGGAATAAATTACATTTGAAAATATATATTACAAAAAAAATTTTTATTTTAAATATTTCAGAAAATTACGGTTTTACTGTATTTTTGATCAAATAAATGCAGACTTGGTGAGCATAAGAGGAAGTTCAAATAAGCATGCATACTTTGTGCGGCATTGTGGGTGCAATATGTAAACACCATCCTGGTACTTCTGTCGTACAGCTTCTCTGTCCAAATTGGCTAAAGCACGGGCAGCATGAGATGCCTGCATGATGTATGGTGACCGGATCATCTCAGCCAGGACAGACACCCAACCTAAAGGTCAACCACAAAAGAGAATAAAGAACTACTCTTTTTCAACACAAAATCTAATTAATGAATCAGTTATTCTAAAGTACAATGCTAACCTGACTGTACTATGGCTGTGTGCAAGCTCTCATTCAGGGCGAGATTTCCAATAATTCGCACAATGTTGCGCTGAATTTTTGGAGAGTCTCTGCGAAGCTGGTAGACTCTTTGCAAGAGCTGCAGTCCTCCATTAGCAACAATGTGATCACAATGACTGTGGACCTGTGAACAAAGAACACTCAAATGCTTTGAATGGATTCGTTTATTACCAACAATGAACAAATTCTTGATTAAAACTGATCAACTGAAGGTACACATCAAGAATATCAACAAAACCTCACTCAACACACCCAAGCATCCTGTCTTCTTTGATCATTGCTTACTTCCTTGCTACACAAATACATGTCACTTTGCAGAGTTTGTAAATCTTCACCTTTGAGTGCTGCACCAGGGCCTGCAGGCAGAACGTCTCCACCTTCTCAGAGGGGGTGGAAGTCAGACTTTGGGCATAGGGCAACCCATTTCCTCCAAAACACCATAGCCCTCCCTAGAATCACAGACCAAAATGCACAGCTAACACAGTGGCACTTTTATATGGATATAAATGTGATTAAATGAAGTACAATAGTGCCCATACACAAAAAAAAATCTGACCTTGGGCCAGCATTCAGTGTAGTCCTCTGGAACCCCTTCCACCTTGTCATCATCCTTCACGTCAAGATCCTTTTGACGCCATGTTTTAAAAGCTGCTCCCAAGAGGCCGTGCACGAAGAGAACATCAGCTTTGATTGGCTGGCTTAATATAAAGAATGGAAAACATGATTAATCCTCACTAAACAAAAGACATTTTCCGACATATTTGGCAAAGATACATTAAATGGATCAAAAATGAGTAAAGACATTTATAATGTCTTTAACAGATTTCTATTTAAAATAAATGCTGTTCTTTTAAACTTTCTATTCATCAAAGAATCTAAAGTAAAAATGTACCACGGTTTCCCCAAAAATATTAAGCAGCCCAATTGTTTTGAACACTGATAATAAGAGGTTCCTGGAGCAGCAAATCAGCGTATCAGAATGATTTCTTAAGGATCATGTGGCACTGAAGACTGGAGTAATGGCTGCTGAAAATTCTGCTTTGCCATCACAGGAATAAATTACATTTGAAAATATATATTACAAAAAAAATTTTTATTTTAAATATTTCAGAAAATTACGGTTTTACTGTATTTTTGATCAAATAAATGAAGACTTGGTGAGCATAAGAGGAAGTTCAAATAAGCATGCATACTTTGTGCGGCATTGTGGGTGCAATATGTAAACACCATCCTGGTACTTCTGTCGTACAGCTTCTCTGTCCAAATTGGCTAAAGCACGGGCAGCATGAGATGCCTGCATGATGTATGGTGACCGGATCATCTCAGCCAGGACAGACACCCAACCTAAAGGTCAACCACAAAAGAGAATAAAGAACTACTCTTTTTCAACACAAAATCTAATTAATGAATCAGTTATTCTAAAGTACAATGCTAACCTGACTGTACTATGGCTGTGTGCAAGCTCT